AGACCCCTTGGGGTCCTCTGTGGTCAGAAATCACATTTCCACCATGCCCCAAAGGACAGTGCCAGCTGTCACCCAAGCGGTATTTGAATCTCCACGGCCCCTGGGAGATCCCCCTGACCCCCAACGCTGGCAGGGAGCTATAAGGTTGTGGACAGACAGAAGTTATGCTCTGAGGGTCTTGAAAAGAAAGCAAATGGGAGAGAGAGAGAAAGCAAGCAAGAACGAGTCAAGGGCCTCAAGCCACAGCTGGGGGATGCTCTTACTTTACCTTGACTTTCTGAATTCCCAGGTGTCAGCAGCAAGTATAATCTCAGCCTGCAGTGGCTTGAAGCAGGGTTTTGCTTTCTGCACCAGAGATTAAGGTCAGGTCACATCAGTGAGAGCACCAGATCCTAGCCACCAGACCAGTGGTCAGTAACAAGGGCCCTGGCCCTTCGGCTTTGCAGAAAAGAATTCCCGCAAAGACGGAAAGTAGTGAAATAAGAAAAGTGTTTATTAGGAGGAAAAGGAGTACAGTACATGTAGATAGATATACAGGCTGACTCAGAGTCAGTCTCAGCCTTGGGGTAGTTTAAATCACTTACACGTGGCATTTCTCTGGGTTTCCTTTGGCCAGTCATCTCACTTTGCCTGGGTCTGAGTCTGTATTTGGTATCTGTCAGGGTCCTGCCCTGTGTACATACATCTCTCAGCCAAGATGGATTCCAGTGAAGAGGCCTATGGGTAGCCTTGGCATCACTCCCCTTTTGACCTCCAAAGAGCTTTCCAGTCGGAAGGGCTTCCTTGACTTTGAGAATGAGAAACACATGGTCTCTTATATCCTGGGCCCAGCCTCCTCTCTCACTGTCATGCTATTGAAATTTTGGACTTTCTGTCCACAGGGAACAAATAATGCTTACCTTGGGGAGCGGGGGCATCTACCTCCTGCCTCAAGATTAGAGTGGTGATTTTAGGTCATCCTAGCTTTTTAGTAAAAGCATGTATAGCTATAAATTTCCCCCTTGTCACTACTTTCATTGTATCCCATAGGTTTTGGGATGTTGTGTTTTCAGTGTTTTGAAGCCTTGAGGTATTTTCTAATTTCCCTCACGATTCATTTGATCCATTGGTTGTTCATGTTGTTTTTCACAAATTTGTGAATTCTCCGTTTTCCTTCTGTTAGTGATTTCTAACTTTATCCCATCAGGTTGAAAAAGATACATTGTATGAAATCTTATCTTCTTAAAAAACCTGTTGAGACTTAACTTGTGGCCTAGCGTATGGTCTACCCTGGAAAATGGCCCATGTGCACTTCAGAAGCATGTGTGTGCTGCTGTTGGGTAGAGTGCCTACCCTCATGTCTGTGAGAGGATTTAACTCAGTAAGCCAATTAAATTTACTTACTTTGTCTGGTTGTTCTACTATTGACAGTGGGATATTGAAGTCACCAGGTATTACTGTGAAAGTGTTAGTCCCTCGTGTCCGACTCTTTGCAACCCCACGGACTACTGTAGAACTGTCTGATTCTCCTTTCAATTCTGTGAGTTTTTTGTTTTCTATTTTTGATCATCTATTATGAGGGGTATAAATGCCTATAATTGTTATAGCTTCTTCCTGTATTGAAACTATCATTAAAATCTATTTTGTTTGTTGTTAGTATAGCCACTCCTTGCCTCTTTTGTTTACCACTTGCCTGGAATATCTTATCCTATGCTTTCACTTCCAATCTATTTGTGGTCTTGGATCTAAAGTAAATCTTTTGTAGTAAAAATATAGTTGTGTGTTTTTATTCTTTCTGCCAATCTTTGTCTTGGCTGAATGGTTTAATCCATTTACATTTAAAGTAACTACTGATAAGGAAGGATGTGTTCTGTTATTGCTATGTTTTCCTTATGTCTCATAGCTCATTCGACGCACTCCAGTCTTCTGTGTTTTTTTTTTTTTTGTCATGAATGTTCCTTTCCATTCTCCTTTTGTGTATATCCTACAGCTGCTTTCTTTGTGATTATCATGAGGATTACATTTAACAACCTGAAGTTAATTTGAATTCATATCAACTAGGGAAAAAAATACCCTGCTCCTTTATAGCTCTGCCCCCACCCCCGTCATACATCTTTATACATTGTGTGTCCCCAAACATAGGTAATTCTTTTAAATGTATCAGTCTCTTAAATTATATAGAAAACAAAATGTGGAGTTACAGACCAAAGTTACCAATGATACTGGCTTCTAGACTGGCTTGTCCATTGAGCTTGACTAGGGCTGGGTTTTTACTAAGCACGTATGAAAGAGACGCAGGGGAGATCAGGATGACCCCAAGGGAGCGATGATCATCACAGGCCACAGAACCAATGCTGGGAAAGGCAGGGGCTTGGCAAGGAGGAAGGCAGGATCTTGTGTGTGTTATTTATTTTTGGCTGCACTGGGTCTTCATCGCTGCTCAGCCTTCTCTCTCGTTGTGGTGAGCGGGGGCTTGTCATTGCGGTGGCTTATTTTGTTGCGGAGCACAGGCTCTGGGCGTGCAGGCTCAGTCGCTGAGGCTTTCAGGCCCTAGGGGGCTGGCTCGTTAGTCCTGTTGCTTGGGCTTAATTGCTCTGCGGCATGTGGAAGCTTCCCAGACCAGGGTTCAAACCCGTGTCACGCTGGCAGGTGGATGCTTAAGCCTGGGCCGCCAGGAAGTCCTGAGGACAGGGTTTCTTAAGATGACAGACAGCATTCCTGAAGAATCTGAAGAGCTGTTGCTGGGGGTGGGGGCCACTAGAGAGAACAGCTCGGAGGCAGAGTGGATGAGAGTAGAGAATCGGAAGTCAGGATTCCAGAGACTGTGTCCCTTGGTCTTGAAGAGCTGCATGTGGCCTCTGGAGAGGGAGAAGCTCAGAGAAGAGAGAGGTGGGGTGTTGCTGGAGGGGACGAAGGGGCCCTGAGTGTTGAGTTGACCATCAGTGTGTGAAAAGCAGCTCAGAGGTCAATAGACAAGTCCAAGCCTAGACACGGAGGGTGTTAGGGGTGGATGGCATGAGCTTCCGAGGAACTGAGGTTTCTAAGGAGGCAAAGTGGTTTAAAGTAGGAAAGTTAAGGTTTGGGAATATAGGGATCTTCCCAACCCAGGGATCAAACCCAGATCGCCCACATTGCGGGCCGATTCTTCACCAGCTGAGCCACCAGAGAAGCCCCTGAATACTGGAGTGGGTAGCCTGTCCCTTCTCCAGCGGATCTTCCCAACCCAGGAATTGAACCGGGGTCTCCTGCATTGCAGGCAGATTATCAGCAGGACTACCAGGGAAGCCCTTGGGAATATGGACCAAGAGATAATAAAGGGCCTCCAGTTAGGGGAGCCAGCTGTGCTTGGAGATGGCCGAGGAGCTGAGAGGCTTCACTTGGGAGAGGTCAGAGGTAACGGGGAGGTCGATGCACACATAGTGGATGCGAGGGAGGGGAGACCTGAGCGGATTACAGTGTGGCCAAGACAATCCTGGCTGTGGGCACGATGGAAACAGTCCTGCTTCTCCTCTGCCTTGAGGCTGGGGGACGAGGGCCAACACTCAACCTGCGCGTAGTTTTCTCTTTCTTATCTGTCCAAATAGGGGATGCACCGTGGTGGCCTAAGGGTTAACTGACCCAGAGGCTGCAGTGTGGTCCATGTCCACACCCTCGAAAACCAGTGCTGGTCCATTCTCCCTTGTATCAGCCTGGAAGTGCCATTCCCACAGCCCTGGGCTAAGGTGCCTGCAGTATTCCCTTGTGGGCCCCTGGGCAGCATCTCCCATGATTTGCTGGGATGCCTCTTAAATAGCGATCTTATAGTATGTGCTTAGTCACTCAGTCGTGTCTGACTCCTTGTGACCCCGTGGACTGTAGCCCACCAGGCTCCTCTGTCCATGGTGTTCTCCAGGCGAGAATACTGGAGTGGGTAGCCATTCCAGGGAACCTTCCAGATTCCAGGAATGGAACCTGGGTCTCCTGCATTGCAGGCAGATTCTTTACCGTCTGAGCACCAGGGAAGCCAACCTGGTCTCTTACTACCCTGGTTAAAAAGGTTAAATACCTGGTTGCAGGGCGTGAATTTTTTAAGCCAATGTAAATTTGGGATGGGGAGCAGGGGACAGCATAGCATTTTTTCTCATCCTTCAGGTCATAGCTTAAATGTCACTTTTGCCAAGAGAATCCCTTGGTCTAGCCTCAGGGTTCTCAACAGGGGACCATTCCTCACGCCCCAGAGCTATCCAGCCACAAATGTCAGCGGTGCTGAGGCTGAGGAAGCCTGGTTTGAACTGTTTCAAAGAGCTCTTTGTCCAAGTCCTGCTTTTTCCATTGTGGAGCTTACGGTGGTCTTTAATTGTCCGCATGGCTGATTTTAAACAGGGTCTGTGTGTGTAGACAGATGCATACATGCATACTCAGCTGTGTCTGACTCTTTGCAACCCCATGGACTGCAGCCCACCAAGCTCCTCTGTCCATGGGATGTTCCCGGGAATACTGGTGAAAGTTGCCATTTCCTTCTCCAGGGGATCTTCCTGACCCATGGATTGAACCTGTGTCTCCAGCGTCTCCTTCACTGACAGGCAGATTCTTTACTGCTAAGGTACCAGGAAAGTGTGTGTAGATAGACAGATACACAGAAATATACACTATTGTCCATCTGTCTTACTTGGAATCTTAGTCCAAGATGGCAGGGGTCTTTTCTGTCTTGGCCACTGCTGTATGTCCAGGGTCTGGCATGATGGTTTACAGTAGGTGCCCCAAAATGGTTTCTGAGTGAATAGGAACCTATAATGAAGGGAATTTTTTTTCTGTATAGAATTTTGATTCTACATCTCCAATTAATATAGATCTGCCTAATAACTCAAAATAGGCTTCTGCTCTACTTCAAATAAACATGATGCTTGTCCAATCAAATCATGTTCAGGGTAAAATGGTGAAGGACGTTATAAGAAGTTTTTATAATGTATACTGAAACTTCACCTAATCCCCCACTGCTGAAAAAGAATGGACACAAAGAATTAGACCATAAACCGAGTATCTAATTTAGAAAATGTAACCGTTTTAATTTTGTCATTGTAAAGAGGTGTGTCTCAACTAGATTGTAACAAAATTACCACAGCTTATTCCAAAAGAAAATTTTAATACAAGAGATTTTAGAAAATTAAACACATTTGTTTAAAAATTCTATTGTGTAAACCTTAACAGAAGAGGGTAGTTAAGATAATACTACGCGTTTCACAGCCCATGTGTGGACTTCTCAGCCTCACTTACATCCAGACAATAGACTCCAGATTTGCCACCTGTTCCCCTCGAACAGACAGCTCACGGGGACCCACTCATGGGTGACTCCAGCTGGATCACCATGGAGCCTGCAGTCAAAAGAATTTTTCCACCACCAAGTCAGCATCTGATGAGTTAAGCAGTGTGTTTGACCAAATGGTGATGCCAGAGATGGTGCCGCTAAGGTTACAGAGGTAAAGACATTCTTTCTAGGATGGATCCCAGGCAATAAGAAGCCCTAATTAGCTCCACCACCCCCTCACCCCTGGAAATGCCCATTCTCCAGCTCATCGCAACGCTAGTTGCAAACGTGCGATCCCCCATCTTCTCTGTCTTCAGTCCCAGATGTGGCAAAGGTCCCCTTGTATGGCCTCCAGCGATGGCAGACAGAATTGCCAGAGGGACGTGGCTTCTCCCCTTGCAGTTCGTGAAGGCAGGGATGGGATCTGAGGGCAAGGGGGGGCATCGTGGCAGGTCAGCTAGTGGTCTTCGGTGAGGATGGCAAATCATCCCTGTGCCAGAAACAACTGAATCCCTGGACCTTGAAACCCTCGTGAATCTGGCCATTCTGTTCTTCTAGTGGGGTTGCTCATTCTTGCTATAAGCTCACCCATCTTTTAGAAAAACCAGATTTTTTTTTTTCTTCTTCAGAAATGGATTGAGTAAGTAAGGAAACCCATTCAATGCGGTTGTTAGAATTGAGAACTACCAAAATCAGGCCCATTCCTGGCAACAGGCATGCATGGTAAACAGGATGATCTGAAATGCCGAGATGAACTGAGCCAGGGCGTTTCCACCACTGTGGGCTGGGCAGACAGCTGCTCTGCTCAGAGCGTGGCGATGGGCAGTGCTCCCTGCTCACTCCTATCTATCCAGCAGCTCAAGTTTTCTTTTAGAAACATGATCAAGACCACGTGTTAGGGAAACAGGAAAAATGAAGGTTTTGGCATAGTAACGTTTGATAAAATATACAGTGCTACACAGCCAATCTGAACAGTAGACACTTAATGTTAAAGAAACAAAGCGCAATATTTTGAAAAAGGATTGTTGCAAAAGGCCTTGCTCGTGAGCAGACGCCTGCCTGCTGGGGCCACCCAGCTGGGGGTAAGGTCCAGCATGGGTGGCACCATCCGGAGGGGGAGCACTGAGGCAGAGTCAAGACAAGTATTGCCTTTGGGGTAGAAGCTTGAGCGTGGCATGCTCCTTCGAGAAAGCTCTGAGCTCACCTGATGCTTCCGGGCAGGGTCCTTCTCTGATAGGTCTTAGAGGCTGCCCATCCCAGCTCCAGGCTGAGAACACAGGGGTTGTCAGTGACACACCCAGGTGAGACGCCCCTTCCAGGGGAAGGTGCCTCCCATGCACCGGCGCTGGCGCCAAGCTGCCGGGCTGAGGGATGAAGGATGCTGAAGGTGACTGGCTAGGAGAGGTCTGCTGGGACCGGAGAACGGGCTCTGGCTTCTAGGTGTGGGGCCAGCTGGCGGCTGCACCCCTGTGAAGGTGAGCAGGTGACATGGGGGTTGCTGAGGCCTGCGGCCCTGTGACCAGGCCCTCTGGTGGGTACACTGTCTCATGAGGAAGAGGATGCAAGGCCACCCCGGGCCACAGATCCCAGGGCGCTGGGTGTCAGGAGACAAAAGCAGCACAGCTTCGGATCCCCCGGGCTGGCCGGAGGGTCCAAAACCTGGGGATGAATCCTCGGGCCTCCAGTGCCCGCTGCCTCAGAACTGGCTGCAGCTGTGTTACCAGTCCCGGGATGTAAACAACTTTGATTGCCTCTGTGTTCTGAAAGGCACAACACAGCCTGGCAGTGCTGTCAAATCCAGCGGTTATCAAAGGCGGCATCCTACGGGCCCTGCCCTGGGTGACCACACCTGGTCCACACACCCTGGCCCACCGCCCCCTCCCTCACTGTTTGCGCCTCTTGCCAGGACTCACAAGATGGTATTCCGTCTCTGCAGCTCCATCAGGCATCCTTCTATGGCCAGGAAGCGCTTAGACGGGCCAGGCTATGGTATTCGCGGCGACCACTGTGGTGTGCAGCAGCCTCTCGGGAAAGCCGCCTCCTCACCCGGGGCCTGACTGTAGAGAGATCTGTGTGGTTTCAGGCCAGGATCCCACAGGGGCTCCGGGAGCAGCGGCTGAGAAAGTGTGCTTCAGGGCGGGGTGCACACCAGCCTAAGCCCTCGCTCCCGGGAGCTCTGGTTTTCTCTGAAGAGGAGGTGTGTCTGCTTTTTCTGTGCTTTCCTTCCGCCTGGGGGAAAAGGAGGGAGCAAGACAAGATGCAGCCACCCCTGAACAGCCGGCTGGGCTGTGCCCTGGGGACTTGGAGGGGCACTTCCTGCTCCCAGTGGAGGGGGGCGCCAGAGGGCCAAGGCCTTCTGGAGACAGAAGGGCCCTTCCGTTCCTTTCTGAAGAATGGGGAGTGCTTTCTTAGGTGCCAAAGAATCTTCTGATTTGATCAAGGAGGCAGAAGCCAATGTCAGCTGGTCCTGTGAGTGTGTAAGGCGGGGGGCGCTGTCTTCCACCTGACGGGTCTCGGGGCGGGGGCGGGGAGGCATCCTGCCTTCTGACCTAGATCGGGGTTGATGCACGACAATGACACGGCTTCAGAGGTGGCATTCTGTGCCCAGGTCTCAGCCTGGGCCTCGGGGTTTTGTTCTCTTTCTCCAGGAGCTGGGGGTCTGCCCCTTCTAAATCCATCCCGCAGCCCTGGCAGGGCTATATCATGGCAGAACATTCCGTGTGACTCCAGAGGTAAGGCTTTGAGGAGGAGCTGTGATGCGCACGTCACACGCGTATCTGAGCTGAAACCAGATGGACTGAAGATCGAGGTTTCTGCAGGGTCACAGAAACGGGGGCACAGAGGGCAAGCAGCCTGGAGGGGCCCCCGCAGGGCCCCTCGGAACATGCTTTCTACAACCCGCATTTGGGAGGGCAGGGCAGCTTCCCATGAATAATTAAGCTTTCAACACGGGAAGGCAGAGCTTCTTTCCAAATGCAGCCCGAGAGTGCTCTTGTGTTCCCACTCAGTATCTGTCTGTCGTAGCTCTGGGTGCCCCCCTTTTTTTTTTTTGGTGTTTTTTCACTCCATGCGCAGAATGTCAAAGCCGCTTCCTGGTGGGGTAGTTGGAGAAGGAGAGGCTAGAAATTGTACTCAGATGTGTGTCTGGGGTCAGGCGCCAACACAGCCTGGCTGATCAGAATCCTTGGCCCTGGAGAATGTCGGGGCGCTGGATCCCTTCTGGGTCTCATGTGAACAGAGCGGAGACACCCTGGGTTCAGATCTGGCTATGCAGCCGTCAGCTGGCCTCAAAGTGACCCCTGTGGAGGGACCCACGTGTGGGGTGGAGCTCTGGGGCAGCTGGAACTTCCAGAGGGTCCTGGAGGCCTGGGTGGAGGAGGGCTCCGCGTTCAAGGCAGTGCTGTGGAGCGTGGGGATTCCGACACGGCGCATGTGCAGTGGATCCCTCGGCACACGAGGGGGAGAGGAACCACGCTGCCTTTCTAGGACACGGCGTCCCTCGGGTCCTCTGACCCCATGGGCTGACAGCAGGGCCCCCACATACACACACTCCCACCTCCATCCACGGAGGACAGCCAGCTCGTGTCGCTCCCCCGGGCCTGGTTAACCAGGTAGAACGTCCCCTCCGAAGTCGCTCCAGCCTCCTCGCGTCCCTGGAGGGCCGTGTGCGAATGTCAGCTCTGACGAGCCTCCCTCTGGTGAGCAGGGGGCACGCGGCACAGCCCCTCCAGGCCGTCCCTTCCAGGGTCTCCACTGCACACTCGATGATGACCCACGCTGCTCACCCAGGCGTGAGCTGAGGCATGCTCAGCCCTCTGCATCTCACACAGTTATGCCGCCTTTTCGTCCTTCTTTGTATCAGCAGCTGAGGGTGGCTCCTGCCCAGGGTCGGGGAGAGTTCCACGCTTCTGGATGTTAAAACTGTCCAAACAGCTCTGGTCCCACGGGGGTGATCTGACGCTGCTCCTCCTCCTGTTCCCACCTGCTGCTCATGGCAGGGGGATGCTCTCTGAATGGGAGAAGCAGAGGGGTCAACCTTGCGGTGCACCCAGGGCCCTGCTCCCACCGAGAGCATACTGGCCGACAACACATGCACCGTCTTTAGGGGACAATCATGATTTGTTCGGAGTGAGTCATGTTCACATAAGTTCACAGAGAGTCACGCTGAGCTCCACGGAACACCTAGAGGCCCCCCAGAACCTTCTGGAGTGCTTCCCGGAACCGAGTCTCTCAAAGCCTTGAGGACTCTCCTCTCGGCTTTTGCGGCCAAGGCCACCAACGCCTGGATAGCCCAGGGCTTTCTGGTACAGGTCACTAGGTTGCTGCTGACGGCTGGCCTGACCAGGTGCACGCGGGCTTCCTACGGGGGCCAGTCCTTCCAGAACCACCCAGAGAGGAGGTAGGAAGTTCTCCAAGAGCCACAGTTCCCCATCCCTAATGGCCCCGCTGCACGAAGGCCACAGGACTGTCTCCCTGGAGCCTGGTGGCAAGAACTAGGGTGTTTACTGACCACTGGTGGGGCGTGCGTGGAAAGGATCTAGCCCCCCCTCCCAACCCTCTGTGTTCATAGGTTGTAGCAGGCAATTACATTAAATGGGGGGGGGGAAGTAACAGTCATTCGAATTCCCACGTGGGAAAGAGTTAAGAGTGAGTGAACCTTCTGACCAAATGAGACAGACTTGTGCATCATGACCAGGGGGCTCTGAGCCTGACCCGGTGCCCACCCGCTGGATGGCCTCTGGGCTGGAGGGAGGGGAATGTCTGGCCCTTGAAGCCCCAGGCGGGGCGTGGGGAGAGCAGGGCCCACATCTGTCCAGTGAAGAGCCGCCCTGCTCTCACACGGCCCAGTTTAATCGGGGTGTCATGTGCCCAGCGGGGCAGGTGTGCTCTCTGGGGTTCACCGGTGGGGGTAGGGTGGTCCCTCCGAGGCGGCAGGGGCCAGCTGCCGTGGCCGGGCTGGAGACAGCTGGCGCAGCACGTAAGGCCCGAGTCCAGGGTGCCGTCGAGGTCAGAGGTCACCGCTCTGGGGCTCCACGTTGCGCGTCTCCCTGGGGTGACCTCGGGATAGCTTGGGGAAGCGGGAAGCCACTTTGGGCCGGCTGTTCTTGGTTAGCGCTTCTCCAGGAGGGGTGATGTCGCTGTAAGACAGAGTGGGGAGAATCAGGGTAAGTCCGGAGTTCTGAGGGCAAGTGGCCACAGGCAGGGCAGCCGTCAGGGGGAGAGAGGGGAACGGCGGCTGGGCGGTGAGAACGACCTGGAGAAATGAACTTCCTGTCTATCGTGCCCAGCACAGTTGTGGGGCGACAGTTCCGGACCCTCTTTTAAGTCGATGAAAGAAGGTTCTGGTCTTGGCTTTCTTCTCACCATTTTCACTGATCTTCCAGCAAAGGCACATTTCAAAGTCAAAGAGAAAGAATAAAACTGCTTTGGGGATCACTGCATTTAAGTCAAAAGATGCGAAAACCCAGGAGAGGGAATTCCGGTGGAGCTGGTCCTAAAAGAATAATCAGAGGTCTGCCCACGTCTAATTGTGAGGGCGTTTACGAAAGCACTGTGCGAAAGAGCCAAAAATAGGAAACTACTTGTGAGTCCAATGCGAGGGGCTCGCTGGTACTGGATATAAAACCCCTACATCGCAAGACGGCAGCAGCCAGTGAACAAAGGGGTGGTACAGACGTGCGTTTACGGACCAGTGAGGGTATGTGCTTCTGCAGACTTAAAAAATACAACTTAAAAGCTGAGAGTTATGTTTTATTCATCAGGAGTATTTGGACTTCAAGCCAAGAGAGAGCATCTCAAGTGTCCCGGAGAGAACTGCTTGGGGGGGGGGGGCAGGTTATATGTATTAAAAAGTTTTGCAACAAAGGGCAGGTAGTCTGAATGCCAAAAGGTGGTGGTTATTTAAAGAAAACCAGGTATCTCAAGGGATCTAGCGCTTTTCTATGTACGGGATTCCCTGGTGGCTCAGACAGTAAAGCGTCTGCCCACAGCGCGGGAGACCCGGGTTCGATCCCTGGGTCAGGAAGATCCCCTGGAGAAGGAAATGGCAGCCCACTCCAGTACTCTTGCCTAGAAAATTCCATGGATGGAGGAGCTTGGTGGGCTACAGTCCATGGGGTCGCAGAGAGTCGGACACGACTGAGCGACTTCACTTTATGTACGGGAAGATGCGAGTCTGGGCTCACTGAAATGATTCCTTTGATGTGCGCCTCAGCTGTCTGGGGCCAGTGTCTGAGTTTCCTAGGGGCTCACTGTAGGGAGTGCCTGCAGTCTGATGGCTGCGAGATGGTGGGTATTCTTCCTGAGTTTCCTCAGGGGGGGTCACCATCCATAATCACTGATGCCTATGATAGCCTTTGTTTATTGCTATGGCAGGAAATATTCCCTTTCCCAATTCCAAACCACGCTAAGGCACAGTAGAGAGAGTATACGGGAAACACCTGAAGGACACACTTGTTTACTCCATGAATCTCTGCACCCACGTGGGCCAAGCACTGTGCAAGGCACTAGGGCTACACAAGGAGCGAAATGGATTCTCCCAGGCCCTGTGGAGCTCACAGTCCGAAGGAGGGCCAGAAACATCATGCGCTTGCTCTAAGACTTAGGGTACAAAGCCTGCCTGAGTGGAGGCAGCAGCTGGAGGACTCAAGAAGGTGGGGAGTCCATGGCCTGGTTGCATTTGAGGTGCCCGGTGCCAAGGTCGCCGCTCCAGGCACACAGGGCTGGGGTGGTGAACTTGGCCTTATTTCCCGCAGCTGCTCTAACACATTAGCACACAGTTGCGTGGTTTATTACAACACACTGAGATGTCTTACAGCTCTGGAGGCCAGCAGTCCCCAGTGGGTCTCATGAGGCTATGTCCAAGATGTACCACTTGGAACCAGCAGTGTCCTCGGTAGTGTCTGACTCTCTGCGACCGCATGGACTGTATCCTGCCCGGCGCCTCGGTCCATGGGATTCTCCAGGCAAGCATACTGGAGTGGGTTGCCATTTCCCTTCTCCAGGGGATCTTCCCGACCCAGGAATTGTACCTGCATTAGCTGGTGGGGTCTGGAATTCTCAAGGAGGAGGAAAGGACAAACGTCTTTTTTTTCCTCTACATTCCTTAGTCATAGTCACTAATTTTTTCTTTAAGGCCAGAACTGATGATTACACAACAAACAGCTCAGCTTAAACTCTGTACTAAAGATTATATAACAACAATGTATCCTGCTTGAGAACAGTTTCTCCTTCCTGAAAACCTTCAGATTAATCCTGTTATCTTAGAATGTATCTTATGGGAGTGGGTCTGGTAAGATCTTTACAACCTTGAGACATTCTTTTCATTTATTGTAATAACCAATTAAAAAATTATCTAACTCCCGCGGGGGGAGGGGGGCACTCTCCGCCCCCCTTCTACTGTCTGTGTCAGAAGCTTGCTCTCTCTCATTTCATACTTTAATAAAACTCTGCTACACAAAAGCTCTTGAGTGATCAAGCCTGGTCCTGAAGCTCTATCTCCTTTGGAGATCACGAATCTGACATCGTTCACCGTAAGCTACCACTGGGAAGCCCTGGAAGGCTCTAAGGGAGATTCTAAAGGCCAGAAGCTGGCCTTCCCAGCTTCTACAGCCTGCCGGCACTCTAAGGGTCACGTCCCCTGCCTCCATCTTCAAGGCCAGCAGGGCAGCCTCTTCAAATCTCTCTGCCCCAACTCTCCTGCCCGGCTGGGTGGTGAGGGCCTGTGGTCCCTGGAGGAGCAGGCTCCTTGCAGGACTGGAGAAAGGCTGGAGTGGGGGACAGTTATGAGGCATGGGGCCAGGACTTTGGTACTTCATTTGGTTTCTCCAAAGGAACCTGCTGTGTGAGGATTAGCAGAGGGGAGAGGGATGGGGGGGTTGCCTGCCCGGGGCTGCCACTCACAGATGGCACCGTGGGAATGAGGAGAAAGTTCACTGCATTTCCTCAGGCAAGTGTCTTGTCAGCTTTGAATGGCTTCTAGGGTAGGATAAATATTCATCCAAAAGAACAGAAATCCGGATCAGGATCTGCTCTCTCTGCACTCCCATGTTCACTTCAGCCTGATTCACGACAGCCAAGATGTGCAATTATTAATAACTTAGATCTCTATGAATGGATTAAAAAAATGAGTTTCATCCATACAAAGAAATATTCAAGCCTTACAAGAAAAAAGGAAATGCTGACATATGTGAGAGTATAGTGTCCTGCTAAATGAAATAAGCCAGTCATAACTAACTGCATGATTCCAAGAACCAAAGGGTGGAAAGTAGAGGATGAGGGAGGGGTAAGTAGGGAGTTACTAATCGACAGGCAAAATGTCTCAGTTGAATAAGTTCTAAACTCAAAAAGGACTAAAGATCAGATACTATAAAACTCCCAGAGGAAAACACAGGCAGAACACTTTGACATAAATCACAGCAGTATCTTATCTCCTAGACTAATCAAAATGAAAACAAAAATAAACAAGTGGGACCTAGTGAAACTTAAAAAGGTTTTTTGCACAGCAAAGGAGACCACAAATAAAGCCAAAAGACAACCCACAGAATGCAAGGACATATTTGCAAACAAAGCACCCAACAAGGGACTATCGGCAAAATTTACAAACGGCTCCTGTAGCTCCATGTAATAAAAAACCCAATCAAAAAGTGGGCAGAAGACCTCAGTAGACATTTCCCCAAAGAAGACATACAGATGGCCAAGAGGTACACGAAAAGGTGTTCAATATTGCTAGTTATTAGAGAAATACAAATCAAAATAACAATGAGGTTCACCTCACATTGATCAGAATGGCTAACGTCAAAAACTCCAGGAACAATAAATGCTGGAGAGGGTGGAGAGAGAAGGTAGCCCTCCTACACCATTGGTGGGAATGTAAATTGGTAAAATCACAATGGAGAACAGTATGGCGGTGCCTTAAAAATCTAAAAATGGAGCTATCATATGACCCTGCAATCCCATTTCTGGGCATTTATCTGGACAAAACCCTAATTTGAAAAGATACACGCACCGTAATGTTCACTGCAGCCCTGTTTACAACAGCCAAGATAGGGGAAGCAACCTAAATGTCCACTGAGAAAGGAATGGATAAAAACAAGTGTGTGTGTGTGTGTATATAAATAAATACATATAGATACATGTATACATACATCAATGCATACATGTATACATACATTAATGTATATGTTATATAGTAACATGATAAAGATATATGTCTATATATACACATACACACACAATGGGATATTAGCCGTAAAGAATGAAATATTGTGATTTGCAGCAACATGGACAGACCTAGAGATTATCATACTTAGTAGTGAAGGAAGTCAAAGACAAATATCATGTGGTATCACTTACATGTAATCTAAAAAATGATACAAATGAACTCATTTACAAACTGAAACAGAGTCAACAAGTCTTTTTCAACAGACGTGAAAAGCAAACTTACGGTTACCAAAGCGGAAACGTGTTTGGGGGCGGGGGGCAAGTTAGGAATTTAGGATTAAGGGATACACACTACTATATGTAAAATAATCAACAAGGACCTACTATAAAGCACAGGAAACTCTACTCAATATTCTGTAATGACTTATATGGGGAGAGAATCTTAAAAAAAATGCACATATACCTGAAACTAAAACATCATAAATCAACTATATTCCAAAATAAAATTAAATTTTAAAAAAGATGAGTGAGTTCGAGGTCTGTACAACACTACCTACAGTCAACAGTCCTGTACGTAATTTTTAAACTGGAGTGTAATTGTGTTTCGGTGTTTCTGCTGTAGACAACGTGAATCAGCCACATATGTCCCCTCCTCTTGCGCTCCGCCCCCCCCCTCCCTGGACCATCACAGCCTGGAGTTGAGCTCCTCATGGTTACAGCAGCTTACACCTGGGCGGGGGTGGGTGCTGGTGTGTGTGTGTCAACACTGGTCTCTCAATTCCTCATCGTTTACAGCCTTTGTGAGCCACCTGCACTACTGAGATTTAAAGGTGGGGTATGTTTCTCACTTGGCCCCGTCAATAGAAATCAGGCCACCAAGAAGCTCTTTTAACCTCCTGCTGACTATGTTGTTATAATAAAGCGGCCTGGTGACTCTGGGTCTGGGCAGGAGCAGAAACACTGAGCAAGGCAAAAT